TCAAAAAATATACGTGTGCGTCTCACTAAAAACTCTATCCCAAAAACCCTGTGGGAAATGGGGGCATGGAGAAAAGAGCATGTACACGACTCTCGTCTATACAAAGATAGTCTAGGGATGATTCTATCTTCAGCTAGTCTTCGATGGCAACCTTTGCTCGGACCTCTATGGCTTTGTATTTTGGCAACTTTGCTCCTCTGCATGGTCTTGAGCCCTCAATATCTTCTCTTCATAATTGAACCTTCACCGAAGAAATTAATGTAGGCAAAGTAGTCGACGTAGGTGAGTTAGTTGTAGATGATCACAACAAGTCTTCAAGATTTGCTCATGGGAGGCAAGGCTTACATCTTCGGGCGAATTGCTTGTCCAATGCGCTCCTCGCCAGCCCCTCTTGGCTAGCGCTTGTGAGAAATTGTTTCACGTGCTTAAATTAGATGACGTAGGCACGATTGTTGTCACATATATCATAGATGGCGATCCGCCCTCCAAATTGATGGCAAAAGCGAAGGTGAGGATGTCGATGGTGATCCCCCACTCCAAATTGACGTTGAGGGCAAAGTAGAAGATGTTGATTCCTAATGTAGAGGAATGATAATTTGTGAATGTTGATTGTCAATGAAATTCGTTGATTGATGAAGGCCAATTAATTTCGAATACCCATACGCACAACACCAATGCTTTCTGAATATCAATGATCAAAGAAATCCATAATTTTTGAGAAAGCCAATATTGTAAAGATCAATATATAGTGAAACCCATTGTGTCATAAAAACTAGTATATTCAACGAAAGTTAGTGACCATATGGAAACCCATACTAGACGGGGAACAAGGTAACTTGTGTATAATGCTACACTTGTCGAACAAACATGCTACATAAATGAGTTAGTCGAGAAAGGGTGAGAGATACTCATAACGGTGGATTTGAGATAGAAAATTGTAAATAAAATGCAAAAACATGAATATATGATCGTTTCCGAATGGCTAAGTGAGAAATTAAGTTGCTTGGTCGATTTTTAATCTGCAACTAAAACTGTTGCAAGTATTTCTATCACTTTGATAACTTTGCTTCATGCGAATCTTATACTTTCGCACCTTGCTTAATAAATGGGCAAGCTATATATATTAGCGATATATTAACAGGCAAGTCATAGATGCAGAGCGCGTGAAAAACAAAAGGTCGGGTGAAAAAAGACGGCTTGGGCTTCGGTAGCGGACTGCAGAGATGGCCCACAATGCGATGACTGTATTCGCACAAAAAAACAATCAATGTTATTAAGTATAAATCATCATGTTACTTATGGTCTAGTGGACTAGCTTTCTTTTGCCTTTCTATCATTCTAATCGAACTTGAAATTATATTCAAAAGAAAGCTATTGTAAAAACAAAAGAAATACCTCTTTCAGAATGCCCTTTAATTTTAAAAGTAGAGGTAGAATAGAACACCCAGTTTAAGAGTAATGATCACACGTTTGTAATGCATTGTATGTTCCGGAATATGTTCCGCTCATCTACCTTTTTCGGGTAGCAATGATTATTCACAGGTACTACGCCTTAACACCAAAGAAGAGTTCGATCCGATGCTTTATTTTTATCTTAGTGAAAAAATCGATGAACAATGAATAAGCGATGGCTGATGGCTATATATAAAAAAAAAAAAAAATGACAAGCATTTGATGAGTGAATAACCGATGCAAACTGTGACTATTCGGCGGAAACGAATAATGCGAGAGCGAAGCAAAATAATACAACTTTCGGCTACATAAAAAAGTGTTCTATTTTGGAAAGGGTAAATGTTCCGAAGGATTAAAGTTTGTAAACGCGAAGCTAACTAGTTTTGCGGTTTGTATGCGAAGGGGCAACCATGTGCAATTCCGAAGTTAGATTTCCTTCATTGCTAAACGCATTCTCAGGAAATTATGAATAAGAAACTAACAACAGTACACGACGAGCCATCATGAAAACACGTGGTAACCATGCTCATCTGTGTTGAACTTGGATGGAAAAACTAGTTATGAATTGTTGTTGCTACACCAAGCTTAAAAGCATTGGCAGCCATACTTATTTTTTCGCTTGGCTTGCTGAGCCGAAGGTGATCGATGTCTCAGAAAAGAGCCCCCCATGACGTTGGAAGAGCTGAAAACTTTTTTTTCTTCATGAAATAAGGCGGCAAAGGACGACTAACTAGAATACTCAGGAGATGTGAAAAGAATTCATTGGACCTGTTCATTTCGCTGAAATTTGGCTTATGCTGATTTGTTATCAGTCTGTTTTAGTAAATGTGTTAGCAAAGGACATTAGAGGTCCCGAGGGATGTGTTGACTCGAACCCAGAGGCAACTTACGATTATTTGGGAATTATATTGATTTTTGCTGAATTAGCTGGTGACCTATCTGAGCGAACGGAGAAATATCACGGGGTTCGCGCGATGTACATAACATATGTCAGACAAGATTAGCAATAATACAAATCCACTTTTTTGAAACGAGGAAAGTGATTTATCTGGGCGTATAGCTAATAATACAAATCCACTTTTTTCTTTTTCTTTTTTGCGAAACGAGGAAAGTGGTTTCTCTGGACGTATAGCTAGTTGGAGTTGAGCCCGAAGTAGCTCTCTCGCTACAGCGTTTGCCGCCTCCGAATGGAAACCGGAGTTGGGCTCGCTGTCTTTTCTCCGAAAGCGCTTGCCGCAGATTTCGCTGGAGCATTCACCAATGCAATTGCCACCTCCGAATGGGACTAATTCCTTTTTTTTTTCTGGACCTGTATATCATGATTCATGCCTAGCGAAATGCATGTGTTTGTGTTTGTGCTAGCCTGTAAAATGATAGCGAGGCCAAGTAAAGTGCATAAACCTCGATTTGATCCTTCGTTGAATGGCCTTGTACCTCTTTGGGATAAGAAAAGGTTGAAGCTCCTCCCTCGGTCCCTCTGTACACTCACAAAAAAAGATTCGTTAATATTGGTGTACAACACCAACATGAGATCTTGCGTCAAAAACACCAACATGAGATAGAAGAGAGTAAGAAGGAGAGAGCTAATTGAGCGATGGCCAAAGGTCTTCCTCCACCTTGCCTTTCTCCCCCTTTAGGCCTTATTCCTTCCATCCATTTAGCTACGACTGATTGATCAGATGAAGCAAGGAGAGAGAGAAGAACCTCGGCGAAGAAGGTGGCAGGTGTGGAGAAGCGGCGAAAGAACCTTGACTCACCGAGCACCTTTCTTCTAGTCCTTTGTCGCACCGTCTTCTAATCGAATTGTACTTGTGGTGGTACGACCAAACACAAAGCTAATGCACCAAAGGATGGGGTCGGCGGTCCGCCACCATTTACTAGGGTAGGGATAGATGGAAGCAAGCAGAGTCCCGACTCGTGAGTCGTGACAGTTCATTAATTGTTCAACATGTCTCTGATCCATCTCCCCTACCCTCTGTTCCAAATTATAAAAGTTTTTGACTTTTCTAGATATATAGTTTTTAAATATACACCATGTCTAGATATATAGTAAAAATAATACCTATAGAAAAAGCGAGAGTATCTAATCTATCTATATCTATACCTAATATTAAAGAGCGAAGAAATTCTTTCATCTCACTTTCTTTTTACTTCCCAAACTACCCCGCGCTCCTCTCGTATCCATAAAAAACCAACGTAAACACGATCCATGATCACGTCTAACAATCGGTGTTCATATCATAGTAGCCGGCTAGGTACCTACCACCAAAGTTAACAACCACTTCCTTCGTCCTACAATGATTCTCAAACCAAAACATCTTATAGGAGGACGAGCTGGGCGGCGAAGGTATAACTAGCTAGGATATCGAAAAGGAAAAGGAAATCTAGAAATGGAAAAGGAAATCCCAAATGAGCACGAGATCTTAGAACTAGCGCCACTTTTGACGAGAAAGTCACCTACCACTAAAAGCACGACACCGTTAAAATCCTAGAAAATTTGCTCCCACGAGAAGTTGAACTCGTTGCTGCATTAAATGTTTAAGGTCACCTTTTCCTCAATACTGTAGTTATCTTAAGCTTTTTTTCTCAATATATTGTAGTTGCATATGCATGGCATGTATATGCTTTTTCCTTGCAACTATGCTATGCTTCATGACTATTTTAATTGGACCGATACAAAGATAGATAAACATCAGATGCTTACTCGCCTCCGCTAGCAGCTCTAAGGCTTCCTTTGGGAGAAAGGGCAGCTCAAGTGCACAACCCAGCGAACAGCAGCCCCAATGGATATCTGCACCTTCTCATGGCAAATCTATAATGTGCAAAGTAATATCATTTTGGTGTTTGCTCTGCGCGCAAGAACTTTTTGCAGCTGTAAGAATTTGCATGACGTTGTGTTTGCTTGAACCTGTCAAAACAAGACTTTCAAGTGCAACGTTCGACTAGTGTGGCCAAATATGCTGCCGGTGAGTCCCACCAAAAAAAAGAACAGATTCTCCAAAAAAAAACAAAGATTTATTTTGAGCAGAAAAAAAAGAACAAAGATGCCTCTACTTAATGAGTTGTTGGGCTCGAGGTTAGAGCTAGCCCAGGCTCGACCCAGATTTGCTCGCGGGCCAATTGGGCCACCCATACACAAAAATATTTCGTCCTTCTGGATCCCTGGATGGTGGCCCGAACAAGTACAGGGCCCATTTCTAGCCTATCGAGCTGGTCAGGTAAAAACCCTATACCTCGCGGCGCCTCCTTCGCCGTCGCCGTCGCTTCCTTCCCGTCGTCGCCGGCTCGCTTCCTCACCTAGGCGCAGGCAGCCTTGCGTTCGCTCCCCATCATCGCCGGCTCGCTTCCTCACCGAGGCTCAGGCAGCCCTGCGTTCGCTCCCGTCGGTCCTCGCTGGGAGCCACACCCAACAGGCTCCAGCAATCAATTCGGCGCATCCAAGCACGGCGCCTCCCTCCTCGATTAGGCTCCTCGGTGGCCTGTTGTTCTAGGCAGGTGGGAAGGCGGGAAGGATGTTCACGCTGAGCCAGATCGAGCACGACCTACCGATGCCGCCGCACCTGCTGAGCCGCCCCCTCCCCGACGCCATCAAGACCGAGCTCGAGAGGCTCTTCTTGGACAAGGTAACGCGGATGTCGGTTCCGTTTAGCCGTGGCATTAGCATTGTTTGGAATTTTTGCTCGGAGTGCAGCAATACTCGGACTAAACCCATTTGCTCACAACATTTTGGTGGTTCCTAAATGTGTGTGTCTGTTTGCGTTTCGCGTACGATGCAGGTAATCGCAAACCTTGGGCTGTGCGTGTCTGTCTATGATATCAGATCCATTGAAGGTGGTTCCATCCATCCAGGAGAGGGCTGCTCGACCTATAAAGTAAAGCATGCCTTGTGTATCTCTTATTATGTTATATTATATTCTTGGTATAGTAATATGCTTGCATTAAATGTTTTATTGAAGGTAAGTTTGTGGAAGTATTGTGATTCCCATAAAACGTGACCTTCCAAATCATGCGACATGGGTGCTGCTATGTTGCCTTTTTCACACTCTTTAATTTGTGATCAATTGCAAGCAAGATGTGAAATCTCAGTTAATATTTATCTTTTGTCCAGTTTCCTTCTCATTGGTGCTCACTAATTACTTAAAACTGTTTCTAGTAGTGCTTAGCATTTGGTTGCTGTGCTAGAGCGGAAATATTAGCTTTTTTGATTTATCCTATTGTTGTTTTTTCTTCTCTTCATGTATGAGTATGATAGCTACTTGCCCATCACTTGAAAGGCAAAATATGCATATTTTCCCAGCATTTTTCTCTTTCCAATGGCCTTGCCACTGAGGCACTTAGCAATTTAGTTCAAAAATCGTGATGGTTCCCAGGCTGTATTTTCTAATTGATTATTTTTAGTTATGATGCTAAGATCCAGTTCTTCCATTTGTCAAAAACAATGCTAATTAGTTTGTTGATATGAATTTGTAATCTAGAGTGTTGCTACCTAGTAAGTAGTAATGACTTGATTTTAGTATAACAAGTTACGATACATGGTTATTGTAATTTCTTTGCTGAATGGTAATGAAATTTGGGTTTCCCGTTGTAGAAAAAAAAAGTTATGATACACGAAGAACCCTTTCTAACTAGAATTACACACCTTTTTAACAGTGATACCCTTTCTTCCAGTATTGTATATTTGTATTATTATAATATATCTGATCTCTGCAAAGTTATTTATTTCAATTCTGGGGCTTCCTACACTTTGCAAATTATGCTCAGGATTTCCTTGTTCCTGTTTTGGATAGGTTTCATTTCGTTTGCTGATGTTCAAGCCTTTTAATGGGGAGGTTCTTGTTGGGAGGATTATTGGATATGATGATAAGGGGTTGCAGGGTGAGTTCATTTGGAGAACAGCTTCAGTAGAAACCTCTTGATTCCTGCCCTCATGTGAACTGTCCATGGTCCTTTCTGGTGCTGTATTTTAGCTTTCTATAATAACTTTACTTTGCATTTTGTTCATACTTTCAAAATTGTATGCCCTAACTTTTAAACAAAAGGTCCAAATGGTTTGCTCATGTCTAATCTGTGCCATCCAGCGTGAAGGGCGGGCCTGGTGCAAGCGGTAGAGTCTTGCCGCCTGTGACCGGAAGGTCCCGGGTTCGAGTCGTGGTCTCCTCGCATTGCACAGGCGAGGGTAAGGCTTGCCACTGACACCCTTCCCCAGACCCCGCACAGAGCGGGAGCTCTCTGCACTGGGTACGCCCTTTTTAATCTGTGCCATGCATGAATAAATTTTAAGCCTATTAGCCTAACACTTCCAAACTAAATGTTTTATTGGAAATATTAATTTCATTTTTACAAGCATGGTGCATTACCTGGTTGAAATGGTTGCTACAAAATTTAAATGCTCCATTCCTGTTCTGAGAATTAAATGAAACATCAAATACGTATGATATCGTCGTAACTACATTGCTTTTAGCTAATAGACCTGGTTCTTTTGCAGTTTCACTTGATTTCTTCAGTGACATTTCCATACCTGGACACTTGATGCAGTTTGGCACAGTAAGGTTGTGCACCACCTGTTTTGCTAATTTATTGTTGCAGTATATAAATCACTAGTATTATTTAAAGTTGATATGTGCTTCTGGAGTTATATTGTACAATTTAGTTTTGGTTTGTCTTGAAGGGCAGGCCTGGTGCAGTGGTGAGAGTTGTCTCACTGAGTCATCAGGTCGTGGGTTCGAAGCAGCCTCTCTGCAGATTTTGCGGGGGAAGGCTTGTCTCGGTTTATCCCTTCCACAGACCCCACTCATGTGGGAGCCTCCGGCACTGGGTCTGCCCCCTTTTTTTGTTTGTCTTGAAGTAGCATTTCAACCACTCATCCTTTTACATCTGTAGTATGACCTAAATTATGTTAGTTATCATGTCAGTGTATAGTGTACTCCATTCGACTAATTGTTATGGGACTGTAAAACCATTACATAGCTTGTGAGAAACTAAACTGAAATTTGACTTGGGAAAAAAATTACGGAAAAAGATTGCTCTCTCCAGCATGTAGGTAGCACTTTCAATGCTGTTAAAAGAACCTTAGTTTAACTTATTGCATTGATGAAACACTGTTCTTTTCTTCTGTTTCTGAAGAAAGTATTTTCTGCATAAAGTTCAGTGTATTTTTCTTTAGTTCTCATCTGTGTTCACTGTTCATTGAATTTCCAGGGGACCAGATGGTAGGTGGATGCTGAAGACTGAAGATGGTGATGAGCTTTATCTAGATCTAGATGACGAGGTACATCAAATTTGTGCTTTAGTTTAGTTTTTGTTTATTGCAAAACAATGACTACTTCCTATGATTGCTGCCCCGACCAAACTCGTGACCAATCCAAACATTGTACAGATAAGGTTCTTGGTTTCTAGCACAAAATACCCACCTATCCCAATTGACCAAAAGGAGGATGACCCACCATTTGCTCCAATGCAGATTGTTGTAAGCATCTACATCTATCCTCATTCTGTATGGTAGATTCTTGAGCATCGCTTCAAGTTGTACTTGCATAAATTTTTTTGTTGTATCTTATAAGCTGTGCCAGTTATTTTATTCTGACGTGTCTCATCCAATTTGGTGGCTTGATAGTTGATATTTTATAATGTCGGAGTGAAGCCCATGTGGGCCTTGGATAGTTGGATAACACAAAAACATTTCTAATCCCATAATATGGATTTTGCTTCTTTGATTCCCTTATTCTGTCAAATATAACCTCTTTGCATATGCCTTTCGAGAGAATTATTCTCTTAATATGCTGAATGTTGTCTTTTCATGCTTTTTGTGTAAGCACTTCCCTGTATGCATATTGTTGTGCATATGCAGCCTGACTCTGTTTATATTCATGTATGGTGATTTCTGATTAATATCATGCTTTGGCAAATGACTTCCGTGTTGTATCTACAAATTGTAAACCATTGTTTTGCTTACATGACATTTATTCATTTTATATCTTATAAGCTGAGCCAGTTATTTTGTTGTGATGTGGTATCCAATTTGGTGGCTTGATATGTTATAGACCTATGTTGAAGCGAAGACATTGGGCCTTAGTCCCATTAACGTGTCTAGTGTCGTTCAGTGTACGAGAAACGTTAATTCCAAGTTGTCAGTGCATGACTGTGTTTACATGTGGGAAGTGGAGACGTCATGTGAAGCTTGTGATAGATGGCAAGGCAAAAGTTGCGAGGTCATGTGAAGCTAGCTGGTATTTTTTGGGTGCACATTGCTTTACTTGTGTCTGCATCGCAACTTGTCATTGCCATGTCAAACCTGCCACCGTGCCATGTCATTATGCAGTGTCAAATCTAGCACACTTTATACACGATTCCTTGCATAGTCTATGCACAAAAGTAATGTTATTTGCTATGCATTCCATGCATCATGCATGGTGTCAAATCTAGAACGCGGAACACACAATTCCTTGCATTGATAAACTACATAAATAGACGAATCCCATATTCTGGATCGTATTATGCTCTGATTCCCTTATTCTGTCAAACATAACATCTTTGCATGCCTCTTGAGAGGATTATATTATACTAATATACTGAATTTTGTCAGTTCATGTTTTGGTGAATAAGTGTGGTAATGTCTCTGCAGGGAAGTATTAAAGGAGATGGCCTTGGTCTTCTTGCTTGGTGGGCAGCTGATGAAGAGGAGGGGAGGAGGCGGCAGAGCAAGAGCAATAGCATTGTGTTGCTCTAGGGCGCACTTCGTGTAGTTTACAAAATCAGCCTGGTAGCATGTGTAGTGTAGGTCAGATTCCTAGGAGAAATTATGTATGTATGTAATCCCCTGAAATTTTCTGAATATCTGTCAGCTATATAATCTGATAGCACAGAGATCTCTCCCTGTAAGGGCATTCAGCAGGCCGACACCATAGAAGTTCACTTCTAACCAGTGCTTGGTGTTACTCCCCAGCTAACAGCTGGGTAAAAGATCTTGGAGTGGTGAAACCGATATCTGATGTATAATTTTCCTGTGAAGTGTAAAAGTGGTGGACACGGTGCAACTCCCCAAGCCGGAGTTGATATTTTTCCAGTCACATGGTTGGCACACTTACACTTTATTGTCTTTTGCAGCTTGGCGGCTGAAAAAAATGCATGTTTGCGATATTTTCAGACCACCTAGTTGGGTTGACAAATGTTTGGTGAACCTGGTCTCTTGTTGAGCGGTTCTTTTGTTGGATGTGGATTCCACCGTAGGTATTTCGTGGTATGGAAATTGGCAAAGTTGAAACAAAATCTGTGGCTATACCATTTCCTGGAGTTCAATCATCGAAAGAATCGTCCATGTGTGAAATACAAAAATACAGTTTTTTCTCGACTGTAGTAGAATGTAAATTTGCTACTTTGCAAGATAGTTGGACAATCAAGCTGATAGATCAACACACAAGATGAAAGTTGCAAAGTCGCAGCTGCTAGCACTCTAGAATTGTACTATTACTATTGAAAATAGTAGCGATTAACGGGCAAGTATGGTAATGGTAAACAACAAATAGTCTAAAGATCGACGAATCATGGATGGATGTTGCAGTAATTTTTAAAATTTTTTTTTTTTTGAAGAGCTACCGACAAGAGCTTTGCCAGGCATGTATGGACAAAGAAGAAGACTACAACACAACAAACCATGTATTGATAAAGAAGACTACAACACCACAAACCCACACAAAGACAATAACCAAAGAAACATAAATTCAAAGAGCTACCGACAAGAGCTTTGTCGGGCATGTATTGTATGGATAAAGAAGAAGAATAGAACACCACAAACCCACACAATGACAATAACCAAAGAAACCTAAGCACCGACGACGAAGGATCACCCTATGCGCATGAGACAAGTTTCTGTTGGGGGAGGGGGTTTCAACAACGCCGCCTCGGCTGTGACGTCCTTGGACACCGCCATCTTCTACCGGGAGGCACTAATTTAAAATTTTGTATCTTCAATTTGCATGCTGTTCTCAGTTCATATGTGTGTGAATTGCTGCTTGGCGCTTGCTCTGACTCTTCAGTAGGTGACCCTGACGCCGTTGTATCTGAGGATCTCACCGATGAGCTCCCCCTTGCCGGAGCCGACGTAGCGGCCGACGATCTGGCCGTCCCTGATGAAGACGAAAGTGGGCACCTCGACGATTTTCATGTCCCTGAGGAACTCCATGCAGCTGTCGTTCTCGTCGCCGTTCATGCGCGCGAAGACGGTGTTGTCGACCATGGACCGCGACAGCTTCAGCACGGTGGGGTACACCTTGACGCAGGGTCCGCAGTGCTTGAGGCCGACGTCCAGCACGACGAGCTTGCCCTTGTCGCCGCGGTGTTGATTGATGAGCGCCTCCACGTCCTCCCGCGAGTGCAGCTGCACCACCGCCGAGTGGCTGTCGCCGTAGTAGAGGACGTCGCCGGCGAGCCGCTCGGGGCCGATGGCCTCCTCCTCGTGCACCTTCTGGGCGCCCTTGTAGAAGTTGAAGTGGGGCACCTGCGTGATGCCCTCCCGGCGGAACAGCTCCTTGGTGGCCTCCGACTCGTCGCCCAGGACGAGCAGGAAGTCGACGTCGCCGCAGGTGCGGCTGAGCTGCACCATGGTCGGGTAGATCTGGCTGCTGCTCTCGCTGTCGCTCGCCGCGAACTCCACCACCACCAGCCGGTTCTTGGCGGCCTTGAGCGCGTCGTCGAACTCCTGGGTGCTGTGCACCCTGACCACGCGCTCGTGCTTGCTCGACGGCGCCGGCTGCGCCTTCTCGGCGCCCGAGACCGCCGCCCTCGGCGTGGGCAGCACAGCCGCGCGCCCCGTGCGGCTGATCTGGGCGGGCAAGAACCTGACGATCTTGGCGCCGGTCGGCACGGCGCTGCGCAGGCTAGCGGTTGCCGCGGACCTGGTGGCGAGGGTGGACGGGAAGGTGGCGGTGGAGGCCATCGCCGGTGTGCTGAACTTGCTGCTGAGGAACAGAGAACTAGAGAAGGGAGGTGGAAGATGGGATGGGCCAGAAATCGGATGACACAGGTAGCCGCCACTTGCTTGTGGCTGCTATTTCATCCAACATCCACCCAAAGGTGGCCACTTGCTTGTGGTTGCTATTTCTTCCATCCTAGATTTTTCGATCTGGGTCCTGATTATTTGATCTTTGCACTTTTGTTGGCTTCTGCTTGGGTGATTTGGCCCGGACAAATTCAAGTGGCTACTTTATGAGGCCATCATCGGTGTGGCAGGCAATCCTGGTCACCAAACACTTGAAATTAATGGTCCGGATTGCTACCTAGCTAAACATTGTTATAAAAAAATCAACAAGTACCGTCCTTTTGAAAACCTAAGAACTGATAAAATACTCCACATGACTATTTTTTTCAAAAGCATGACGGACATGATCTCGCCTATGTGTACACTCGTATTTGAATTGAATGCATGACGTGTGTCCTGTCAGTAGAAAACACACACTCCATCAACTTCTACAATTAAAGCATCTACAAGTGTTTTCTCTAAAATTTACTCTCCCTGTTCAAAAATAAAATATCATTTAATTTGTATCTCTAAATAAATTTATTATAAAAATATTTTGAATAATTAATCTAATGATACTTATTATACATCATAAATATTAATGATTTCTTGTATATAGTTGGTTCAACTTCAAAGCATTTTACTTCGCGTGAAATAAGAATGACACTTATTTTGGGGACGGAAGGAGTACTCTCTAAATTATCATTTGTGGAGTAATTCGAGTAAAAACCATTTTCTATATCTTTATATCCTCCAACAGATTTTCTATATCTTGTATGCACTTTAAATAACTATTCTCACTTTTTATCTTTGGCTAGCGAGAAATCAGAAATAGATAATGTCTATATTGAGATATCTAATTAAAGAGGCTGTTGTTGGAGGGTATTTTTCTCACCGAAATCTCTACCCTATAAATTAGGAAATATATAAAAAGTCTTTTGGAGTTGCTCTTAAATCTCCAAATATAATCATTCTTTGTTTTGAGTTTCGTGCTAGCTAAAGATGTAGAGCAGAGCTAGCTCTCTAGAGTACATACAAAATATAGAGACGGAAAAAATATAAAGAGCGATGTTTATTCAAATATGATGATTCAAAAAGTAAGCAGATTAAGAAAGATTCTTTGAGACTGCTCTTATACAGGGTTCTATTTTCTTTGTCCCAAAATAAGTATTATTTTCGTTTCTCAATGAGTTAAGTACTTTTAACTTTGACCAATATATGTAAGGAAACATTAATATTCATAGTACGTAATCAGTATCATTAGATATATCGTTGAATTTATTTTTATAATATACTTATTTAAATATATAAATATTATTAATATTTTATATAAATCTAATCCAACTTAAAAAAAATTAACCGACATAGATATGACACTTTTTAAGAATATAATAACAAAAGTTACTATATGATTACGTGCTCAACACTTAAATGAATAAAGTCTCCAGTACGAAGTGCTTTTATGGTACTTCGTTGTCGGCTGATAGCTATTTGATTCATAGCCACGTCAGCAAAAGTGATAAGGTAGCACCAAAATGAAGATGGAACACAAACATGCATATTAAATATAAAAATTTATGCAATGCAAACGAGCACATGAATATGCACATATCAAATGCAATCAATCAAAAGTTCATGAGCTTCCCCTTACTTGTGTGCTTCTTTTATCAAGAATTTTAATCCTTCTTAATTTCTCAATGTTGCTCCCTCTTCTTTGTCCATATCCATGTCCAAAACCAACTTCCAATGATATTTTTGTATTAATCTCTTCCTCTTTGTCATCAATTTCCAAAAAAGGTATGCTTATTTTGATACAAAGGGTTGCACTTAAGGATAGATGGTTGATAATTGAATCTTTCATTTTTTATGGACACCATTTGCATAGCTCTTTAGACACCATGTATAGGATCTTGTGACCTTGATACCAATTGTAGTGGGGCTTCTCCCTCTATATTCAAGCATGGGTCATTCACTTGATAATCTTGAGCTCTTGTGTATTAGGGATGCATTCTTCACTTGATGATCACTTAAAGTTGAGGATTACTTATGGAACCACCATCTTGTATGAATGATACCATATGTAGTGATGTGATACCACGTGTATGATTGATTTGTCAATAAAAACTATTTCTTAAACATTTGCTATCTTCATGAGTACTATTTGTAGGATATCACTTATGAGTTGGTTTAGACATCACTTGTGAATTTTTGATAAAATATTTGAGTCTAGATACCACTTGAAACAAACAAACTAGATATCCATTTGCATTGTTGTCTTGTGCTTGTACTCTTGTCACTATCATGAGCTTCTAGTGTTGACTTGAACTAAATTGATTTGTCTAAGCTTTTAAGTCCGGTTTGAACCAATGACAAGCTTCTTCACACCTTTTACAAGGGTTATCTTGCCAATGTTGTACTTGTCACTTGTTAGCAATCCAAATTAAATCAAGTACTTGGGTTCACTAGCTCATAAACAAACTCACATGCTTACCACTAGATTAACTAATCATTCAAGCAATAGTGGTAGGCTATGAACTTTAAACTTTCATTTGTCATGCATGATCCTAATAAGCATGTACTATATGTACTAACCGCATACTAGTAAGGAATAAAATGATCATACATATTATAATGATACCTTTGCTATCTTAAAGTAGAGGATAGTCACTAGGACAACTCAGGGAAAGACTTGATAGAGCGGTGGCTAATGTGCAATTGTCGGACCTCTTTCCTCAAGCGGCTCTGACTAATTGTGAGATGACAAGGTCTGATCATCGCCCAATTTTGATGGATGTTAACTACCTACGGGGAACTCATGGGGGCCAAGCAGTCCATAAAAGGAGGTTCGAGGCTCGATGGTTATAGGAGGACACGATGGAAGAAATTATTAAAACAGCTTGGCAAGAGCAATAGCATGTGGGGAAGGGCCCAAGCTAATGGAGAAAGTAAATGAAGTGCATGAAGAATTACATCAGTGGGATAAGGAGGTTCTGAAAAGATCCCCAGCTCGTATTAAGGCTCTCCAAAAGGATTTGGAGCGTCTAAGAAGGGAGCTAATGAATGAGGCTAACTCAGCAGCACAAAAGGAAGTAATGATCAGAATTGAATTGCTGCTAGAGCAAGAAGAAATTCATTGGGTTCAAAGAGCTCGAGCAAACTGATTAAAGCATGGAGATAGAAACACTAGTTTCTTCCAAAACTATGCATCCAAACGTAAGAGGAAGAATACCATAAAAGGTTTAGCTGATCATAATGGAACAATCCAGGAAGATGGGGTGACGATGTGCTCTATTGTGCAAGACTACTTTGGTAATTTATTTACCTCAGAGTTGGGTGAGCCTGATCCAATTGTTCTGGCAGATGTGCAGCGATGTGTAACGCAGGACATGAACACGGGGTTGTTGGCGCCTTTCTCCTACGAGGAAGTAAAGAAGGCTCTCTTTCAAATAGGAGATCTCAAGGCACCAGGTCCAGATGGACTGCATGCAGTATTTTTTAAAAGTTCTGGAATCTATTGGGTGATGACTTAGTAGTCCAAGTTTTGGAGGTAGTGAACCGTTGTAAAGTCCCGGATGGTTGGAATGACACAACAATTGTTTTGATCCCCAAGGTAAATAATCCAACTTTGGTGTCACAATTTTGTCCAATCAGTCTTTGTAATGTGGTGTATAAGGTCATTTCAAAAATGCTAGCGAATAGATTGAGAGCGATTTTGCTAGAGATTATTAATGATCATCAAAGTGCTTTTGTACCGAGGAGGCTGATCACAGATAATATCCTTATTGCCTATGAAAGTATTCATAGAATAAAGAAGAAATGTGGTAAGCGAGGCCTTTGTGCTATAAAGTTGGATATGCATAAAGCTTATGATAGAGTGAAATGGAATTTTCTGGAGAAAATTATGCTAAAAATGGGTTTTAACCGAAGATGGGTGCAACTGATCATGGCTTGCGTGTCCTCAGTGAAATATAATGTCAGGTTCAATTCGATGGAGATAGGGGTGTTCACGCCAACAAGAGGACTACGTCAAGGTGATCCTCTATCCCCTTACCTGTTTTCTATTTGTGGCTGAAGGCCTCTCAAGTCTGCTGAAGGGGGGCAAAACAAGGGGAGAGATAGAGGGAATTCGGGTCTGTAGAGATGCACCAGAAGTATCCCATCTTTTATTTGCAGATGATTCCTTGATATTGATTCACGCATATAAGAGAAATGTTGATAATCTAAAACATCTGTTAGACAGTTATTGTGCAAGTTCAGAGCAGATGGTGAGTGATGCAAAATCAAGTATCTTCTTCAGTGAGAACACCTCTGTATCAGATAAATTAGAGGTGTGTCAATCCCTGAATATCATGACAGAATCGCTGAACCACAAATACCTAGGTCTCCCTGCGTTGGTAGGAGCAGATCGCAGTGATTGTATTCAACATCTAATTGATCGTGTCTGATCTAAAACAAAGGGATGGAAGGAGATCTATTAAGTATGGGAGGTAAAAAGATTCTTATAAAGTCTATCGCTCAAGCCTTACTAGTATATGCGATGATGGTTTTTAAAATCCCAAACAAAATTTGTAAAGGGATATCAGACGCCATATCACAATTCTGGTGGGGTGATGAAGATGACCATAGAAGAATTCATTGGAAGGCATAGTGGAAACTTTGCATCCCGAAGAAAAGAGGTGGAATGGGTTTTAGAGACTTGGAAAGTTTTAATCTGGCTTTGTTAGCCAAGCAAGTCTGGAGACTACTAGCTGAGCCGGACTCTCTATGTGCTAGGATTCTACGAGCAAAGTATTATCCAGATGGTAACTTGTTAAAGGCTAAACTGAAGAGAGGAAGCTCATACACTTGGCAAAACATTTTGGCGGGTTTGGGGTGTTTTAAACGAGGATACATTTGGAGAGTTGGAGATGGTTCCCAAA